GATACAATTTCGCTAATGTCCCTATGATTCTTTACTTATACCTTAATTCTGACCAAATTTTCACTAATTTATGTGTTAGAATGTTTTTTTGCAAGAATATTGTCCTCTTTTAAAGCTAGCAAACCACTTTGAACCATTATCACTATTACTTTGAACCACCCTATATCAGGAATTTCGTCCATCTTTGACTTTGGTATGCATCAGATATAAATGATAAAATAATAAAATCTTAGTTTAAGCAAATAATTTCTTAATTAAATATATTTCTATTAAGTTTAACCATTTATTTTAAGGTCAAATTATAACAAATTGAACTGATTCACTGTTTATATATTTTAGATCAATATTATCCTCACCTAAAAATAAGGGTAAATTTTGGGATAGATTTGAAAATTTGATAATAAAAAGATTAAACCTAACTTTAACTCTATCAAAATTGAAAAAAAATCCTACACTGAGGAAAATATTTTTTATTAAGTTTGAGAATGGGTTTAAAATAGTCAAGGTTGTGATATCCATTATCATCCTTGAATACAATATTTATTCATGATAGTGTATTAAAATGTATTTAAATGTGTTTGTTGTTCTTGAAAATACAATGTGTGCGAGTGAGGGTAAACTACTTCAGTGAAAATGTTTTGAAGAGTACATTATGACAATGGTCCAGTTAATGTTGAACTAACAATTTTTTTATGATCATTCTCACAGAGAAGAGAGCATTCGGAGTTTGACTGATAATCTCTAATTAATGTGCTTATTGTTGAACAGTGTCCTGAAATACCTTAAAATAAGGAAAATATTTTACCTTTTGCCCCCTCCGGAGTGCTATCTCTCCTTCAATACAACATAATATGCGAAGTTGCGGAATGCCAAAATAAAGAACATTACGGGCAGTTAAATTACTCACTTGGGTTGACTTATTTGAAGCAGTTTTGGAACACATTCTGTGCATGTTATGATGTCTAGGAGATTTCAAATGAGTCCAAAGATTGACAGTCATCAGTTGCACATGATTAGCTGGTTCAGATCCCAAGTACCCACGTATATCCAATTAACTAATTATCCTTTTCCTCATCAGTTGTCTGTCACTTATTAGCTTAACTATAAACTAATTTATCACTCAGAAGAACCTTCCCTTGCCTCCCCTTAGTTCCTTGTTCCCTGCCCTGAAAAATGCAACAAGATTAAGAGGAACCAACACAGAGAACAACCACCAAAATGCAAACCCACCTTCTGCTCTTCTATTGTTACGTTGGCCTCTCTCTTGTTTTTGCTGCAGATGATGAATTGTCAACTCTTCTCTCAATCAAATCCAATCTCATTGATCCAATGAACTATCTGAAGGACTGGCAACTACCAAGCAATGTGACACAGCAAGGTTCATACCATTGTAACTGGACTGGAGTTGGTTGCGACTCTAAAGGTTTGGTGGAAAGTCTTGACCTCTCGAACATGAACCTTAGTGGTCGTGTTTGGGACCATATTCAATTCCTTTCAAGCCTATCTTCTTTCAACATAAGCTGTAACAACTTTGCTTCATCACTGCCCAAATCACTGTCCAACCTCACCTCTCTGAAGAGCTTTGATGTGAGCCAGAACTACTTCACTGGCAGCTTTCCCACTGGTCTTGGAAGAGCTGCAGGACTGATATCAATTAACGCATCAAGCAATGATTTTTCGGGCTTTCTTCCTGAAGATATTGGAAATGCAACATTGCTTGAGAGTCTTGATTTTCGAGGGGGCTATTTTATAAGTTCAATCCCCAGGAGTTTTAAGAATTTGCAGAAACTCAAATTTCTAGGCCTTTCAGGCAATAACTTCACAGGGAGGATTCCAGGATATTTAGGGGAACTTACTTCTCTGGAGACATTGATTATGGGATACAATGAGTTTGAAGGTGAGATCCCTTCAGAGTTTGGCAACTTGACCAGTCTTCAATACCTTGACTTGGCTGTAGGCGGTCTCAGTGGAAAAATTCCACCTGAATTGGGTAAGGTGAAAAAACTCACCGTAATTTACTTGTATCATAACAAATTCGCAGGAAAAATACCACCTCAATTTGGCAACATTACTTCACTGGTATATTTGGACCTCTCTGACAATCAGATCTCAGGAGAGATTCCGCAAGAATTTACTAAATTGGAAAATCTTCAGCTCTTAAATTTGATGAGCAACAAACTAACTGGTCCTGTACCAGAGAAGCTTGGAGAATTGAAAAATTTACAGGTGCTTGAGTTATGGAAAAATTCTTTACAAGGTCCTTTGCCACTAAACCTTGGACAGAACTCTCCTTTGCAGTGGTTGGATGTGTCCTCTAACTCTTTATCAGGGGAGATCCCTCCAGGTTTGTGCACAAAAGGCAATCTCACTAAACTAATCCTCTTCAACAATTCCTTCACTGGTTCCATTCCAAGTGGACTTGCAAACTGTTCGTCTCTGGTGCGTGCTCGGATTCAGAACAATCTTATTTCTGGAACTATTCCAGTTGGATTTGGAAACCTCCTGGGCCTTCAACGGCTGGAGTTGGCAAAGAACAACTTCACTGGGCAAATTCCTACAGATATTACCTCATCCACATCACTGTCTTTCATTGATGTATCTTGGAACCACCTTGAGTCATCTCTACCGTCAGATATTCTTTCTATTCCAACCCTTCAAACCTTCATTGCCTCTCACAACAATTTTGGAGGAAACATCCCTGACGAGTTCCAGAATTGTCCATCTCTCTCAGTGCTGGATCTTTCAAACACCCATATATCTGGCACAATTCCAGAAAGTATTGCTTCTTGTCAAAAATTAGTGAACCTTAACCTTCGAAACAACGAATTGACGGGTGGAATCCCCAAATCAATCACAAACATGCCCACCTTATCTGTTCTTGATCTGTCCAACAATTCACTGACTGGCAGGATACCTGAAAACCTTGGCAGCTCCCCAGCTCTAGAAATGCTGAACCTGTCTTATAACAAACTTGAAGGCCCTGTACCCTCAAATGGGATGTTGGTGACCATAAATCCTAATGATCTTATTGGAAATGCAGGCCTTTGTGGAGGCATTCTCCCTCCATGTTCTGCCAGTTTGGCTGTGACACGCCAGCGAAGGAGCTCACATATCAGACACATCATCATTGGTTTTTTGACAGGCATTTCAGTGATTTTCTCTCTTGGTGCTGTATATTTTGGTGGTAGATGGGTATACAAGAGATGGTACTTGTATAATAATTTTATCCATGATTGGTTCAAACAAAGCAATGAAGATTGGCCCTGGAGGTTAGTAGCATTCCAGAGGATCAGTTTCACTAGTAGTGACATCCTAACTTGCATAAAGGAATCAAATGTCATAGGCATGGGGGGCACAGGTATTGTGTACAAAGCTGAAATACATAGACCTCACATAACCGTAGCCGTGAAGAAACTATGGAGGTCAAGGACAGACATAGAAAATGGCAATGATGTATTAAGAGAAGTGGAACTTCTGGGGAGACTTAGGCATAGGAATATTGTAAGACTGTTGGGGTATGTACACAATGAAAGGGATGTGATGATGGTTTACGAGTACATGCCTAACGGGAATCTTGGAACAGCCCTGCATGGAGAACAATCAGCAAGGTTGCTTGTTGACTGGGTCTCAAGGTACAATATAGCTCTTGGAGTTGCACAAGGCCTCAACTACCTCCACCATGATTGTCACCCACCAGTTATTCACAGGGATATCAAGTCTAACAACATACTCCTTGACGCAAATTTGGAGCCAAGAGTAGCAGATTTCGGGTTGGCAAGGATGATGATCCAAAAGAATGAGACTGTTTCAATGGTTGCTGGGTCATATGGATATATCGCACCAGGTTAGTGTTTATTTTCTAATTTGCTATCATATAGTAGCAATCATGTGCATATTAATAACAACCGAAAATAAATAATGTGCTCTAGTGTCCAGATTGTGGCCCACTTTTGTTTTCGTAACTTCCTAGCTCAAACAAGTGAAAGTGAGGCAATAAATAAAAATTAATATAATGTTCATGTCTTCTGATTTTAGAATATGGATACACTCTCAAGGTTGACGAAAAGATTGACATATATAGTTACGGAGTGGTACTTTTGGAGCTCGTAACTGGTAAAATGCCTTTAGATCCTGCATTTGAAGAATCTATCGACATTGTCGAATGGATAAGGAAGAAGAAAAACAACAAAGCTTTGTTAGAAGCACTGGATCCTACTATAGCTACTCAGTGCAAACATGTCCAAGAAGAAATGCTTCTTGTACTTCGTATTGCACTTCTATGTACCACAAAGCTTCCCAAGGAAAGACCATCCATGAGGGACATCATCACAATGCTTGGAGAGGCAAAACCAAGACGGAAAAGTGTTTGCCATAATGGGGAACAAGACAGTAGTAGCATGGAAAAGCCAACGATCTTTACCTCTTCCCCAGTAGTGAGTCTTCTGTAGCAGCGAGCTTAGTTTAACATTTTGAATCCCCACAGCTTCTGATTTCGTAGTTTGAATTGGGACCCAGCTTTTAGCCCATAGCAGAAACATGTATTTTTCGATAAGGTTTTGTTCCTATATTCTTTCTCAATTGAAGAAGGAAAGGGGATTTCAGAACCAATATTCATCCACCATAAAAGTAGCTAAATGCGCATAAAGATTGTATATTGAGTCATTGACTCCCAGTAATGTCATTTTACTTACTGACCATTTTCCATTATTAACACGACTTTTCAGAACCAATTGACTCCATTATAGCGTCAGTTTTTTAACTAGTTCAATCGTCGGCACAGTACATGCAGGAATGAATGCCTTCGATGCCTCCCATGTCAATGCGGCAGCGTAATATGAAAGCAGTTATCTAAATTATATAACAAAAATTAAGCTGCACTCATTTCGAATTTGTATAAAATTTTCCAAATTGAAAAATTGAAAATTATCTGACTCCGTTGTGTTTTTATTCCCAGACTGAATGTGTCCTTACTGATATTCCTAGTTAATCAAAGCAAAATGGAAAAAAATACAATCACAACCATTACATATAGTTCGGTGGATATGTTCGTATCTTCAAAGTACTAAGGAAATGTTAACAAAGCTGGTGTATACGATAAAAAGTCCAAGAACATTAAAATAAACAATTCATGTTACAATGCTAAGGAAAACAAATTGGGATCTGGCTGACATCAAGAAACGAAGGAAAACTGCTGTCTTCTCATCCCAACGAACACAGGCATCAGAATAGTATAGTACGTTGTATATCCTAAACTATGCGTGCTTATGCAAGTACAAATGAATAATATAATAAAAATGAATAATAGTATAGCACGTACTATCCTAATCTAGGATGCTAGTAGAGCACTTCCTGATGCATTTCCTCTTTCAAGGAAGCTTCCAGATGTTGGCTGGAAAACAGTTAAAGAAACACTAGTGAGATTTTGGTCTGTAGATAGATGTGCTGGGCAATTGGTATGTTAATACCACCCATCACAAACTAAATTTACGTAGATCAAAATATCACTGATAAAGAACAATCCATAGGTTAAAGCCAACTACAACCAATAAAATCAAGAGGCCGGGACAGTTAATATTGGCACTCTTTCATATAAAGCGGCAAGGTTGAGGAAAAAAAGTATGCACTCCTGTAGGATTACCAGAATAATTGGAAGATCCAGAGTTTTCAGAATAAAATTATTGAATATGAATTTCAAAATTTTATTCATTCTATAAAAAAATGAATTCTTTCGACTCATTTAGCGATAATAATCATATACCTCACTAGCTTGAACATCACCAAGAGAAAACGGCTCTTTCTCCCTGATTCCACCGTTATCTTTAGTAATTCTTTCTAAATCCTGCTAGAAGGGGATGGTTAATCGTGTTATAAACAATCAATAAATGACTTTCATCATGCCCAACATGAAACAACATATTGCAAAAGGGAACTGTGGGAGAAAACAATAGGGGCCATATATCCTTAATTAGACAAGCACCAAATGAGCTCCACTGCACAGTCACTTCAATATAATAGTGGAATTTTGATATGATATATTACTGCTACTCTTAGATTTTAAAGGGGATAAGAGATAGCAAACAACCATGTAAGCTTTCGGAAGGGTAGCTTTCCCTAAATTCATAAATCTAGATCTTCATAGGGGTCAAAAATGATCACAAATTGTGGATATTAAATAATTCAGCCAATATATTCTTTGTATTGGCATGATATGAATTTACAACAAAAAAATGAGCACCTTTGACAAAATTTGAAAAATACATATGTTGCTTTATATATTAAAAGACTTTGAAAGACGTGAACCCAGATGTTTGCCAAAAATCTCAATGAAAGGGGACAAAATACAAAATACAGCATCTCGGGTACTAATAATCATTACCTTTCCAGTCAAAATTTCAAACTCAAGTAATTCCTCCACAATCTTTTCCAGTACCAGGCGATTTTTCTGCAGCATTTGTCTTGCTTTGATATATGCCAAATCGAACATCTAGGAATGTCACAAAAGATTAAATTAGATGTTGTCATATATAAGAAGTTGTGCTTTTACTAACGTATGGCTACCTTTTCAACTTTAGCAGCCATCACATATTCATGGTCATCTCCCATGCTTAATGCCGTAACCTGTCAGCAAAAAGAACATAAGAAAAGTTTACAATATCCTAATATAAAATAAATAAAGCAAAGCCTATAAACATTTCTCCTTTCTTATGCATTAGCCATAGAAACCTTCCATTAGTTCATTTGATCATAACTCCATCAAACAAAAGTACTGTTTATCAGATTCAGAAAGCAATACTCTCTAATCATTAGAAAAAAAAAAACAGATTAAAGAATCACAGCCACTGCCAGTATTCTAAAAACTGGACCTACTTGCCAAATCAGAACAGCAACTGGTTCACAGATAATGGTTATATAATTGTATTTGAGGGGACCAGTTGACATTGAAGGCATATGAAAAACTTGTACCAGCCACTCACTCTGTCAATACAACCATTGAGTTGTAAGGACTATCATGTACATCTCACACTCCAAATTATGGAAAATATAAATGACAACAAAGTATTCTGATAATTTCATTTATTGGAAAATTATATTGCCCATTAGCTTTTAGACATCTCAATGACATGAAAAAAATATTGGATTAAGTAGATTTTGAGCAAGTAATGCATGAATCTCAAAAACCTTAAAATTTATGGAGCATGGACTAAATAAGTTCAATCACACTTATTACATTATATATCTCAAATTCCAGATCACCTAGCTCTTCTGGGAGATTGTACATCATTTACCATTTTATTTATTTCTCCTCATGTATAAGTTGGAGTGTACTTGCTCAATTAGCAATTCAGTAATCTTTTTTGGCTAAGAAAAGATAATCTTTTTAATTATATTTGTTATGAATAGTTAGAATAGACGTATTAGGATTAGGATTTATTTTAGTATTATAATAACGGACTTATCCCATTAGAGTTACATATGTATCCTTATAAATATAAAGGTCTCTACACATTGTAGAGTATCCAATTCTAGCACACTAATCTGTCTCTTTCTCTATGCTCTTTCTCTCTTAATCTCTACAATATTGAACATTATTAATGGCCTTCGAGAAAGGAAGACAATAGCAATGTGTTGCGTTAAAAGTAATCTTCAAGCACCACCATACCAAATTATTCAATCTAATTTTTCAATCCCACACAATAAGAAAAACGAAAAAGATAAAAGAAAAGTTATTAATTCAACAATAATAGTTGAAATGCATGTAAGAATGTCTATACCGCATTACTACGGTAATAAATTGCAGGACTGTCATCAGGTCCCCACCCATACTGAATGACCATTCGTGTAGCTATCTGTTGTAAATAAAACAATGATCAGAAAATTTTATACTCGCAACATTTTTTGGTTAATATTATCCTTTCCAAAGAAATTATAAGACAAAAAATAAGCAGATATATTAGCTGCACCAAGTGAAAATTAAACCAACCTCTTGCGCCTGTTGTATCTCAGATGAAGAAAGTAAATTTTCTTCCCCAAAAGGAAGTAACATTTGGGATGCAACATAAGAACCAAAACAAAACACAAGCTTCTTTTCAAGATATGATCTAGATTCTGAATTCCCATTGATGGAATCTTCATTTCTTGCTTTTGTGATTTTTGTACAACCAATTCCCTGTATAATTGTTAAGAATCTATCATTAATCAAGTAAATAAGACAATTCAGCCTTTTTTGGGTAATAAAACAGGTCACTTATAATTTCCTATATTGGCCTTGACTGAAAGAACTCTAACTACCACACTGACTAAGCAAATTTGGAGAATATGGGATCACAATAGGCTTCATATAGAGCCACTTCGTCAAAAATCAAGTTCATGCAGTCTTTATTATGTTGTTATACAGCAAAATCAAGATTTAATACTTGAGAAGGGACTGACTACATCTAGCAACAAATGGTAGGCCAGACAGGTGAAAGCAAACAAATGAGGCAGGAGCAAAAGATACTATTTTTTATAGCTAAAATAAACACAAATAAGCAATGCCAAAGAAGCATAAAGGAATGGAAGAAACATGTCTGCTGTTTGTTGGCTTGAAGGAGTAAACACACTTCCACTATCGATCTTCTCCTTGATAAAGTGGCAGTCTGTTTTCACATGTTTGATTCTGTCATGATAGACCGCATTTTTTGCAATACTAATAGCTGCCTTATTGTTGCACACCCAGCTCCTTAAGCATTAGATGAAGCCATATCCCTTGACAAATACCATGAGCCATGGCCCTAAACTCTGCTTTCGCACTGCTGCTTGCAACCATTGATTGGTTCTTGCTTCTCCAAGTTACTAGATTTCCCCACACAAAAGAGCAGTATCCTGTAGTTAACTTATGGTTTGTTATAGACCTGGCCCTACTAGCATCTTTAAAGATTTATACTTTCTGGCTAGTACTCTTCTTAAAATGTAGTCCTCTTCCACGGGACTTCTTGAGGTACTGTAGAATCCAGTTGACAGTTTTCATGTGGTTTTCTATGGGATTATTCATGAACCAACTCACCAAGCTAACTAGATAGCATATATCAGGTCGTGTAGGAGTATCTACTGGTTTGTGGATCCCTGTTTTCCTTAGCAGATCTATCACATATTTCCTATGGGATATAACAATACCACAGTTTGTGGGAGCCCAATGTTGTCAAAATCGTGCTTTGGAGCATTGTATTGCATGATTCAGCACTTTTTTCACTCTTCAGTGATTTGCGCATTGCATTGGCACTGTTTCCTCGAAGTGGCCTGGAGTGTCGTGTCAAAGCTCTAAATTATTGGAGCAGCACACTCCAAATGGCGGACCCGACTTTTAAAAAACCATAACTTAGGCTCTTTTTGAAAACCAACTATGCCTCTCCCAGGTTGTTTACACATTTCTACTCTTCTCCCTAACATCTCTAAAAGCTCGACTGTGTGTTTGTGGGTCGTGGTTTCGTGCCTTCGCCATTCTGCTTCTGTGTTCTTTGATTCTACCTCCCTGCTTTTCCTTTCGTTAGTATTGCATTCCTCTACAGCTTTGCATGTTGCCTTTTCCTTCTTTGTGTTGCTCTATTGCTTTGTCTCTTTCTTGTTGCTGTGTATTCTACTTTTAGCTTTACAAAGATGGCAACGAGTGGAAACAACAGTAATATAGACAGTGTTAATAAGGCTGGTTCAAGTGTTACTAGTGATAGTGTTTTTTGCTTCATGATGTGTTGCTTTTATTTTGGTAAAAAATTGTGTATAACTTTTGAGTTGTGTTTAAAGGGACCTTATAATTTTTTATTCATATAAATATGTATTTAATTTTATTTTAATTTTACAAGTTGTATTACGATCCATTGATCCTACGATCTACAAGCTCCTTCAGCTCCAACCTTGAAACTTGATTTTGACAGCCTTGTGCGAGCCACTTCCATCCCAAAAAAATACCTAAGATGAACAAGGTCCTTGACCTCAAATTCACTTGAAAGGAACCCTTTCAGCTTCAGAACCTCCTCTTCATCATCCCCTGAGATGACGATGTCATCTACATAAACAATGAATGATGCCATCTTTCCATCTCCTGCATGCTTTATGAACATAGTATGGTTAGTTTGACATTGAGTGAAGTCATGGTTCTTCACTACTCAGGATAAGTGATCAAACCATGCTCTCGGAGACTGCTTGAGACCATAGAAGGTCTTTCAAAGCTTACACACGTTGCTACAATTTTCTGGGGTCTTTAGCCTGAGAGGAATCTTCATGTAGACTTCTTCAAGATCTCCATTCAGAAAGGCATTTTTTATATCTAGCTGGTAAAAAGGCCCACCCAATCTTACTGTTTTTCAATCTTGCAATCGAGCTAGTACAAACAGTGATGAAGATCATAAAATCGCATAATTTTATGAGGCAACACACAATTATGACTACCAAGGTTGCAAGGGCTGAGCTTTCAATGTTTTGATTCTGGTTTGGGACACCCAACATGATTCTTTTCGTGCTCTCTTTTCTTCTCACCTCCGAGAATGCCTCACGAATAATTGGAAGGGGCTTTTTTCCCAAAATTCTTCCTTGTACTTCATCAAGGTTCTTATTTAAACGTAGCAGAAATTTGTAGATGTGGTTCTTCACTGGTTTCTTGGATAGTTTCTGGTCTTCTTGACACTTCGACTCGATGTCCTCAAAAACATCTAATAGCTGCCAGAACTGGGTGAGGTATGATAGTACTCTGTGACTGAAGAATTACTTTGGTGCAGATCATGGAGGAGGCTTTTGATTTCAAATATTGCCAATGTTTTGTCAACACTGGCATAGGTATCTTTGGCAGCACTCCAGATTTTGTGGGCTGCGCCATAGTTCATGAAGTTTTCCCCAGTTTCATTGGTCATCAAATTCAACAGTCATGACATTACAAGGCTATTCTTGAGTTCCCATTTCCGGTAACTAGGATCCTCCTTTTCTGGTTTCTTGGACTCACCAGTGATGTACTCTTCCTTGCCTTTCCTTGAAGGTAAATTCAGACAGATCTAGCCCACTCAGTGTAGTTCTGACCATTCAGCTTTTAGCCAGTAATTGGCAGGATAGTAGGTTTGGGATGTGGGTGAGTCCCTCTCTTGCCTTAGGTTTTGGGTCAGTGGTCCTCAGCCATGGATGATATCGAAGAAACCTACATCTGGATCAGATTGCACTAATATAATGTAGGAAAGGTATCATCCATTCCTTAATTCAATAGGTTACATAGGGCTATATATGTATAGGCTGAGTAACTGGACTTGTGCAAAAATAGGAAACTAATAAAAACAGAATCCTAGATTTCCTACCTGCCATATTCACATGATTCTATTTTAGGAATATTACAATTGACTTAATCCTGTCATAAATGAGACAGAATCTTAATAATAATAACAAATAATATCCTAATTTAGAGCCTGATTTTTGCTGATTGGACAGAAAAACCAACTCCAACAAAAAATACTTCACTTCCGTAAAATTCTGCTAAGAACTTCACTCTTTCAAAATCACTTTCACATATTTATTGTTGAATATTAACAAACAAAGCATTGACTAGTAGAAGAATGTTACCAACACATTCTTTAATATTGATAAGAACTTTAGGAGAACCATACCTGATAATGGTAAGCAGAGTCCAAGATCTTATAAATCCCACACTAGAATTTAATACTTCCAATACTCAAGTTCAATAGCTTACAATTGGATCCTAACATCCCACCACGCTGCACAGCCCTAGTGCCTATGTAGAATGATTATGCACTAGCCCCTTGACTAGTTTCAAGCAAAGTCAAGATCGCTGCTTGTTCACATCAGACATGGTGGAAGGTTTTGATACCAATTGAAAACTTTAGGAGTGTTAAAATGTCCAACATTAGCTAGGACTAGAATACTCCTTATAAGGGATAGGATAGTTCTTCTCCTATGAGCTAACTTTTGAGAGTGAGTTAGACTCAAATTTCTTAACATAGTATCAGAGTCTATCCAGTTTGAATGTTGGACTGCTCACAGATGTCCAGTCTTGCAAATTTCACAAACTAGATGTTCAGTCCTAGGCGTGAGGAGTAGTGTATTAAGATGTCCCACATTGCTAAGACTAGAGCCAGAATACTCCTTATAAGGGTAAGGATAGTCCTTATCCTATGAGCTAGCTTTTGAGAATGAGATAGGCCTAAGTTTCTTAGCAAGGACAATTACATTACAAAAGTTAGTCATTGAAGTAGATCTCAAGGCCTTATAAATCCCACACTAGGATTCTATATTTCAATGTGTGACTCAAATCTCATATCTTACAACTAGATCCTAACAAGGGTTTGGACAGTTTGGACCCACATCATTTAGTGAACCCCACATGAATTTTTCCGGACAATGAAAATTGCGTTGAAGAGTGTATTCACTATATTGTCAAACATTTTTGTAGGCTAGTTTCTCCAAGTTATATACATAGAATGTAGATCTCGTGGCTCTGCATCCAGCTGTCATTGCCCAATTTGTGCAATAGCAAATAATAGAAGCTAGATGGAGCACAGACTAGAAAGCCTCACTAGAACAGCAGTAGAGATGGCCAATGGAGCACAGACTAGAAAGTTTGATACCTAAAATGGATTGCTATAATATTGAAAAGGGTATCCAAGAGTGCATATGGCTAACCTGCCAAGATAGAGGTTCAAGCCAAAGATTATCAACAACATCAAAATTTGGTAAAAGAAGAGCAGTAAGACCACGGCCTGCAGCCCAGACAGCATGTGGAAACTTGGTCTGCCTCGTCCACTGAACAACAAAAAAAACATCGTTTACTTATTTTTTGTAGCAACATAAGTCAATTATTTTTCAACTTCTAAAACAGAAAACTCAGACTGCAACTACATTCAAATAAATGGAAGAAGAAACCAAGTGATTATACTATAAAAATATGTATGAAGCAAAGCTGCACATTGACCACATAATAAGCATTGTGGAGATGAGGATAATTTTTTACATCAAGTGGAGGGCTCAAAAGCTCTATCCCATTGCTTATCTGGCCATATGGCTCCATCAAATCAACAACATTCTGCAGATCGTCTTTTGTCAATGTTAGTCCAAGATGATTCACCAACGATTTGCTCAACTTCTTGAATATTCTGATCTCACGCATCCATGGAGGAATCATAGAACTGAAAGTCTAAGAAAAAACAATAAAAATTAATTCCATTTCCTTCAGGAAAAGCTTTATAAATGCACATAAAATATGGCTGTAAAACAAATTGATCGATTACAGTCTCCAGATAACAAAAGGTAGAAAGAATAGTTATTTAGGCTGCATTTTTATGAAAGGTGAAATAGAGAGGAAAGAAATAGTTATGAGAACTAGAGTAGAAATAAAGTAGAAAATATTTAATGTTTGGATGAGTTGAAATAAGAAAGAAAGAAATGATAAAAAATTTCTTCTGCTAGTTTAGATAAGTAAATAGAAATAACTGAATTATATTAAAATAATTATAAAAAATTTAAAATTAACCCCAAAATTTTAATTTTTTTATTATAATGTTTTCTTAATAAAAAACTATTTTAATTTTTTATATTATATTAATATTTTTTTAAAAATTAAAAAAAAAAAAAAATCCTCCAAGCCTATATACCTCCTCTCTCTCCCCTCTCACTTCTCCCCATTTTGGGTGGGCCCCACATATTTTTAATTCCCTTCCCCCCTAATTCTTACACATCCAAACACATCATCTTCTCCACTTCTCCTTATTTCTCTCTCTCCCCCGACTCTTTCCTCCCATCCAAATGGATCATTAGTAGTGTATTCATTTTCAATTTGCTTCATTATAGTTCCTGATAGAAACGAATAAATGAAAATTTGCAAAAAAAAAAAAAAAAAAAACGGAAAGAAGAATAACATATTCATTATCTTATTGCCATAAACAAACTTAAGAACTGTTGACTATTAACTGTAGAAGGCATTTCCGGAGAACTACCAACTATATGTAACCCATTCTGATGGACCCAACAGAAAAAAGTTAACATTTTCCTGTTTAAGTTATTGTCAAAATAAAGTACCATAATCAGCAAATTCTTACTGCAAAGAAACCACAGTAGCTCATCAATTCATCTGTGTCAAGAACTTTGCTCCGGAAGGCACTTCCTTCCAAAGCCACTGGAACAAGTTTTAATTCAATAGGTCGTAAAAGAGCCGTCTTCTCAGCAACCTGAAAATAAAAGATATTTGAGTTCAAACTCCAAGTGTAGCAACAAACCTTATTTATAACCAAGTACATCAGGATTATACATTGTTGGACTAATTCTTTGTTGATTGAGTTATGTTGTCAAAATGTTAGTCATCAGTTATGAACTCAGTGAAGTTCCTTAGTTCCCCCATTCTTGGTATCCTCCATTCTCATTGTCAATGTTCATTCACTTTCAATCATTTAGTTGCACTCATAGGCTCAGCTAAAGTATACTCATTCAATAGGCTTACCCAATGTGCACCTACCCATCTCTCTTTGTGATTGAATTTTAGTTGCTTTAACAGTAATGCTTGTCCTCTACTTTTTTTTGTTCCTCCACTATCTTAATAAAGTCTTGCGTTGTAGAAAGAAGGGGGGAAAGATTTTTGAAGCAGCATTAAACACCAAGAAAAAACTAGGCATCAACAGCCATATAGGGAGCAAGAGCTCATTTTTATTGATAAAAGAAAACAAAAATTTAAACTAGATGTAAATAACCTACAAACATTAGATCATCTGGTGTGAATAACCTAGATGTAGACAACCTAAGAAAATTTAAACTAGATGTAAATAACCTAAGAAAATTTAAACTAGGTGTAAATAACCTAAGAACATTGGATCATCTGGTGTGTTTGCTAAGTTTCTAAGTCACTGTCTGAATAGGGAAATTAGTATCTTTTTAATTATGGTAACTATTTATCGGTATACTCTATATTAATGATTCATATTATAAATATATATTCTGCTGTGTAGTAAAAACACACAGATTCATCCTATGTTTCTTGTTCTTCTTTCTCAACTTGGTATTTAGAGCCTAACAAAGGATAACCCTAATCCGTGATTACCCAATGGGCCCACTGCTTGCTGGTGCAATTTTTTTCCCAAAAACAGTTCTCTATATTCAGTTTTCAGCTGTTTGAACACTGAACTGCTGCTTGTACAGTTTCGACAACTTTTTTGGCAACCACCCTCAAATCTGATGAGCCTACCTGACTCGCTTGCAGTGCCACTCACCTCTCCTCCAAGCTTGCCTCCTAAAACTAAACTTCTCATTGCTCTTTGTAAAGGTATATGCTCTACCTGTAATCTCTCCTATTAGTTTCTTTGACTTACCATTATTTGTTTTCTTCCAATTATACTTGTTTGTCTTCCTTGTCTTTTGTTTTTATTCTTCAGTCTATAGGTGATGTTTCCTCTCATCCCAATAGGAAACAAGCAATAATTGATGAAATGTATGCTCCTCAGAATAGTGGTACTTGGGAACTTGTTCCTCTTCTTCCTGGGAAGTTTCTTGTTGGTTGCAAGTTGATCTATATGATCAAGGTTGGTCTTGATGGTAAGATTAATCGCCTTAAGGCTCGTTTAGTGACTTAAGGTTATACACAAATATTTGGCTTGGAACACAATGAAACTTTCTCCCCTATAACTAAAATGACATATGTTTGGCTACTCATACCTATGGTTGTTATTCGTCATTGGACTCTTTTCAAGCCTGATATTAAGAATACTTTCCTTTATGGTAATCTTGCAGAAGAAGTCTATATGTAGCAACCGCCTAGGTTTGTTGTCAATTCCAAAAATCCCACTATAGTCTCAAACAATCTCTAATGGTATGATTTGACAAATTCAAAATGGCGGTTCAACAGTTTGGCATGACTTGAAGTGAAGTAGATCACTCTGTTTTTTTTATCGTTACTCAACCTCATTTTATTTACTTAATTCTGTATGTAAATGACATTGTCATAACAAGAAGTGATCACGATGGCATTGAATAAGTAAAACAATACCTTTGTCAATGCTTTCAAACAAAAGATCTTGATAGACTTTGATACTTTTTGGGGATTGAGGTAACATAATCCAAGAATGGTGTTGTGATTTCCCAAAGGAAGTATGTAATGGATATCCTAGAGGAAACAAGATTGATGAGGCCAAACTTGTTAGTACTCCAATGGATCCTAACACCAAACTTTTGCCAAGTCAGGGGGAGCCACTTTCAAATCCAAAAAGGTATAGGAGATTTGTTGGAAAAATAAACTATTTGACAGTTACTCACCTGGACATCTCTTTCGTAATCAATGTAGTGAGTTAGTTCCTTAACTCTCCTTGTGATGGACATTGGGATGCAGTAATGCACATTCTGAAATTTATTAAAGAAGCTCCAAGAAAAAGTCTCTTACATGAAGACAAATGACATACTCAGGGTGTCAGGTATTCAGATGCAGATTGGGTAGGATAATTTTGTGATAGGAGGTCTACATCTGACTATTACATTCTTATTGGTGAAAATCTAGTTTCTTAGAAAGTGTAGTTGTATGGTCTTGTATAGAAGCAGAATATCGAGTCATAGCTTTAGTCACTTGTATACTTATCTGGCTTAAACAACTCAAAAAAAATGAGATTTGGGGAAGTTAAACAGATGACTTATTTACGATAATTAGGAAACTTTAAATATTGCATAAAATCCAATTTTCCATGAGAACTAAACATATTGAGATAGACTATCACTTGATTAGAGAAGATTTTATTTGGAGATATCACTACTAGCTTTGTAAATTCTCATGATCAACTAGCAAATCTTTATACCAAGTCATTAAGAGGTCGTCAAATTAATTATATATGCGACAAACTTAGTGCATATAATTTATATGCCCCAGCTTGAGGGAGAGTATCAACAAGGGCATTAAGTTTCTATTTAATGCACTTAGATATTTTTTATAAATAGGTTTATCATACGGTTATTTTGTTTCCTATTTTGTTTAGCCTATTTTAGGTAGTTAATTACTACCATATATTCTTTCATTATTTTAGGATATAGATTTCCTAATAGAATTCAACTTGGTATTAGAGCACGATCTTTGTGCCTCTATTTTTCATGGCTAAAAGTTCCTCAACCACCAGCGATAATCAGAGAAAGGAGAATATTGTTCCCAAGGCATCACAACGTGTCTCTCTTTTCAAATCACATCCTTTCGACTCAATGGGTCAAATTATCTTCGGTGGTCCCCATCTATTTAGATGTACATCCATGGCAAAGGCAAGATTGGATACCTCATTGGTGACAAATCTGAGCCAAACACCACTGACCCACAGTATGATGTGTGGGACGCTGAAAACTCTATGGTTATGACATGATTGGTGAACTCCAATGGTGGAAGACATTAGTAGCAATTATATGTGCTACTCCACAGCCAAAGACTTGTGGGACAGTGTCACAGAAATGTATTCTAACCTTGAAAATAAATCTCAGATTTATGAACTCACCTTGCAAGCCAGAGAAATCCAGCAGGGAGGTGACAATGTAATGAGCTACTTCCATTCCTTGAAGCGGATTTGGTAGGACCTTGATCTCTTCAACACTTATATGTGGAAGTCAACTGGTGATGCCAAATACCATCAGCAAACAGTGGAGGAAGGAAGAATATTTCAGTTTCTTTGCTGTAAGCATGGTAAGCCCATTCATGCATGCATTGGGACCTAAACACTTGGAGGCAGTCTTTAGGATCCTAAGATACTTGAAGGGATCACCTGGGAAGGGACTAATTTATAAAAACCATGGACATCTTCAGATAGAAGCCTATACTGATGCAGACTGAGCTGGAAGTGTAACAGACCGAAGATCAACATGAGGTTATTGCACATTTGTGGGAGAAAATCTGGTTAGTTGGAGGAGCAAAAGAGTTTGTGGCACGAAGTAAGGCAGAAGCTGAATTCAGAGCAGTGGCTCATGGAATTTGTGAGGGATTGTGGGTGGAAAAGCTTCTACAAGAATTGAAAGCTTACAGTTCCTCACCAATAAAGCCGTATTGCGACAACAAATCTGCAGTATCTATTGCACACAACCCAATTCTACGTGACATAACCAAGCATGTGAAGTTTGACAAACACTTCATTAGGGAGAAAATAGAAAAGGGTCAGATCTGTATAAGCTACGTTCCCACTGCAGAACAGTCAGCAGACATCCTAACCAAAGGATTGCCCAAAAAAAACTTTGACAACATAATCCGCAAGTTGTCTATGGAGGATATCTTCAAGCCAGCTTGAGAGGGAGTGTCAACAGGGGCACTAAAGAGCATTAAGTTTCTATTTAATGCATTTCTGTAAATAGGTTTATCATACAGTTATTCTGTTTCCTGTTTTATTTAGCCTATTTTAGGTAGTTAATTACTGCCACATATTCTTTCATTATTTTAGGATATAGATTTCCATTTTTTAGTTGAAACATTTATTGTATTTCACTATTTTAAAGAGGAATTCCTGTATAATTTTGTATTGAATCAATAGTATCTTTGTAATTATGGTAACTATGTAATTGTATATTTTGTATTAATGATCCCTATTATAAATATATGTTCTGGTGTGTAGTCAAAACACAAATTCATCCATGTTTCTCGTTCTTCTTTCTCAATAAACATGTTTTTTGTTCTTCATTGTATCTTGCCTTTCTCTTATGTGGAATGTATTATAATCCCCCTAGTTGAACTTTCACTGTTTTACTGGAAAAAAAAAATGCTCTATTTTAAAAAGAGAATGTAGGATAAACCTTTTTCCAGTCTATATAATCAATAAGTTGATCATCCATTGTTTCCTTTGCTGCCATGTACAATATTTTCTCTCTCTCTGCTTGTGTTGGCCTTTGAAGATGAAATATTCTATCCATGCGACCTGGCCTCTGCAAGGCCTCGTCAATTTGCTTAAGATTTCTTGTAGTAGCCATCAACACAACCCCATCTTGTTTCTCAAACCTGCATGGTATAACAACTACTGTTCAGCTATTACTTACATATGACCATATATTCAATCAGGTCAAAAGAAGCAAAAACCAAATTACCCATCAAGTTCTACAAGCAGTTGATTGATGAAAGCTTCATGATCTTGATTTTTGGTATGGATAAAAGTGCCACGTACACCAGCAAACAGGTCAAAATCCTCAACAAATATTATCACAGGAGACTACAAATAGCAAAAAAACAAATTAAAAAAAGAGGAGACAGACTCAGACTCAAAAAAAATTAAAAAACTTATTCAACCAGACAACTAGATAGCAAGCATAAATAGAAACCAAAAAACAACAGGACATCAAATCATGGAGGAGTTCAATGTACAATCGGTTTGACCATTGGTCCAACCATTAAAAAAAAGGAAAATAGATAAGTAGCAAAACATTACATCTAACAATGTTAACTTTTTTAATATATAAATTCATATTTTATTATTATTTCTGGTTCAACCTGACTTTGACCAGGTCTGAACTCACTTCAGGCTTTGGGAGGTAAACAAACCAGAAGTGGGTCTAGTTGATGATTGGACCAGCCATTCCAGTTTGGTCCAGTTCCCAGAGTGACAATATTAAACATACACATATAAACATGATTTGACTTATATAACTATCAGAACAAACGTATAACAATATAAAATGACTGACTTCATCATATCAATGCATAGTGACAAAAGCATATCAAACTTTACCATATGAAGTTCATATTAATAGATATTTATACCATTTTTCTTTCTTGCGGACTGTACATTTACTTCTGACTCTCAACTTATTTGACTTGGATAATTATGCAGACATAAAAGCTGATAAGAAAGAAGGCAGAAAATAAATATTTAGGTAATTTAAGAAGGATAACCAGATCTCTAGCTGTCTGAAACAATTCACGAACATTGGATGCACTTTGTCCAACCCACAGCCCAGCCTCCAATTCTTGGGCCTTGATTTCAACAACAGGCACCTTAGCCTCAGCAGCTATAGCCAATGCTAGAGATGTCTTGCCCGTACCCCTCTCACCTACAATAAGGACGCCCTGCAATATAGGAAACAACAACTCCCAGGAGTTGATATGGGTATTTTCAAACCAAAGTGCATGCAATAGTAGTTGGTATATGATGATTGCGTCAGCAAAATTTAGTAAAGACATTCAACAAAAAATTTATGTTGTTATGAGATTATTAGAATTGAGAACAAACTATGCCTAATTCCACCCAAAAGCTCTATAAACAAGGGAGGATTGCCAAAGACCGGAGATCAGAAGTGAAATTTGCTAGATTAAACATCTAACATGCCCCGACAACAAGAATGGGATGGGCTATGATAGCATATCAAAGTAGAATTGAGAATGAAATGACCTAACTAAACCCTAGAAGCTGGCTGTTGGCGGGGGCTGGGGTGTACCTGTAAATACCGAATCACTCAGGGTATCGTTATTTCTATCTTTGGATCTTAATAGAGACAAAATGGGCCAGCAGAACTGCAGAAAGCTATTTAACTACAATGCCATAATAGATTGTACATTATTGTTATGTGTTTTGTTACCACCATGAATAAGTAGAGCATATGACAAGGTTCCAGCACAAAGCAACTTGTATACATAAAACATGGGCATCTAAGGCTTTGTTTAGAAGTTTGGAAGGAGCGGGAAGGGAAGGGTTTGAAAGGGGAAGGAGGTTAAACCCTTCCCTTATTTGGATGTTTAATATTGAGAAAGGAAGGTGATGGAGGGTTTAATTATATAAATGATATTATTATATTTTATATCTTTTATTTATATTTTTTATTTTTACAAAAAATAAAAAGTAAATATTTTTCTTTCTCAAAAAATTAATAATTTTAAAATTAATATTTTTATTTTCTATAAATTTTTAAAAAAATTCTCACTTGAAAAATTAATATTTTAAAAAAAAAGTTATAATCATAATCGTGAAAGAGTATGAGAAAGTAAGAGAGAGAAAACTCCTAAAAAACACCCAGATTGGGGGGACTCAAAAAACTAGCATTAGAAGGGTTTTGGAGGGTTTAGAAAAACCCCCAAAACCTTCCCCTCTTAATTAAGCAACTCGCAAATGACGGTTAACCACTCGTAACCCATCCCTTCCCCTTCCCTCCCCTCCTAAACTCAAATCCCAAACATGGCCTAAGGACCCCAAAATGGATAAATCTTTCTTTTTATTGATCTGTGAACCAAATACACTACAGATCAAAGATTAATGAAAAGTCAGTCTCAGAAATTTGGAGGGGAGGGAAAATAAGGGCACTTAAACCTCTCCCCTCCAATTTTTCCTCCCCACCAATATTGGGGGGATTTAGAGGGGAGGGAAAATAGTCATACTTTTTGGACTGTCTATTGCCTAGAGATTTTATTTTACTTCCCATCCCCTTCATTAATATATACAAATTACAATAGTATAATTATATATTACCCATATTTTCACTTCCCTCCCCGAGCAAACCAGACAAGGGGAACCTCCCCTTCTCTAGAACCAAATCAAACAAAGGGGCCTTCTCTTTCCTACCCTTCCCTTTCCTCCTTTGAACCAAACACGCTGTAATGGGTATTATTCAAGCAGGTTAACATATATTATATAAACGGCACAGCTGACAATGAAGAGTTTAATGGAATTAAAGGAAAGCAGGGAACTTGTGAATGAACAGTATATCAATCTGTGTTGGTTTGTTCTTTCTGTTGATCTATTATGAGTAAATTCATGAAATTCATTGAAAACAAAAGAAATTAACACTGAATGAAGCATACAGAAAAGCATGGAAAATTGATTGGATTTTTTTTCCACATTTTTCTAATCAGAGATGGGAGTTGTTGCCTTGTTGGGTGAAAGAAAATTAATAAGAATTATTGACTTAAAATCCCATAGCTTTTCTCACTCTTAATTGAACCAAATAACTTGGGGTCACCTGAGCATGTTTGAGTAATTTCAAGGTTTCATCTATTGAAAACAAAATGTCTGTATTAAATAACAAGGGAGCAGGAAGAATATAAAATTTAATAAGGAAAATGCTTACATCACAATTTTGCAAGAATATATTCGAATTAGAAGAAAGGAAAAAAGAAAACACTGCCTTGTCAAGTTAAAATATCTTCATGCAATATCATACCCGAGGTGCTCGCGCACCCATTTCTTGGAAAGCCTTTGGATTTCGCAAAAATGCCACAACTTCATTGATTTCCTCTTTCATAGACTCAATGCTAGCAAAGTTCTTCAATGGTATTGGTGGTTTCTTCACCCTCTGCAGAACAGCTATATGTCTCAAAGTTTTTTCCAAAAAGAGAATATTGTCCAGTATTAAAACAGAAAATAATCAATTCTTTTAACCTTCATCTTTTCAAAAGCTGTCTTTATGGGATCAACGCCAGCCTTCCTCCTCTGCTTGATTTTTTTCAATTTACTATTAATGTAATACTTCTGCAAGATAGCAAAAACAGAGTAATAATACTTAGTTAAAAGTTGCACCATGGAATACGCGACGCAGATCAAAATTCCATCTAACAGAAGCTGCTGAATGAATGCAACAATTACAAACTACACTGACTTAGCCCAACAATTTTATATATGTGTGTTTGTGGTGTGTTTGGTAAAAATGGAAAATATAGGATAATAGTACTGCAACAAAAGAATTATAATTACCATATTTAACAATAAAATGACCACATGTTTTTCATATTAAAGAACTTGCTAGAAATAATAATATCAAATGAGCACAAACTTTGTAATGAAAATTATAAGGCTTTGTTTGAAATCTGAACCCAATTAAATTCAAATGAGCACAAACTTTTTACCAGTCCAGTAAGCAAATTTGAAATAGCCCACAATAAGACCATGGCTTCTACAGTTTTAATATTTTCCTTTTCAATGGCAAGCAATCAGTTTAACTAACTAGAGTATTACACAATGCAATACCATAATAAAACCATCATAAAATTAGGCAGAAATTTAAAAAATAACATAGACCAGATGCAAGAACAAACTTATACCACTCGCTGCAACTTCCTTCTATTTGGATCTCTTCGCAAGGGTCCAAAACCAAGAAGAGTTGGAATTCTTCTCCTCATAAATTTGAACACATGAAACAGAACAAACCCATATATAGCAGCTCTGACTAAAAACCAAAGAAACCATTGAGTTTGTTCATCTGGTTCGTGGTTTTGTCTGGATTTAAAATTTGATTCTGCCTCTGATTGCCATTTCAAATACCATGTGGAGTCAACTGTCTGAAATATTTCCTCTGGCCAAGCCATCCCCAATTGTAACCTCACCTGTATCATAATGACAACAAAGGATTTAAAAATTTATTGTTTAAAACCACCTGAATTAGCAAAGGCACGTTCTGAGTTTGACGATACCGGGTAAGGAACTAAAAACTCCACAATAGGAAACACTGTCAACATCATTATGTCATCAGTTGTATCCTTAATATTCTTCAATATCCATTTTCTCGCATTCACAACAACTCCAGAATTCCACAAGCCACTCAAAAACCCATTAGACACACTTAATATCAAGAGGAACTGTTGGCGGATATCCAAATCTGAGAAAGGAATCCACATTAGATGAACAGCTGTTGGAATATCACAGGCAAGCATTTTCATATACAGCCCATCAAAACCCCCAAAACCTTCAAAAAGCATTTCAATTTCCTGAAGAAAGAAAGCATATTGAATAATCACCACAAAAAAAAATATATATATTTCTCAATAATAAATAGAAAATATACAGTTTTACGTAACCTTTATGTCTACATAAAATTCTTCGTTCTCCCCCTTTAATGCAATATACATGGCACCCCAATCATGCCTAATGCGGACATGCTCTATCAGCCTTTTTGAGACAGCATAAGGAACAGCCACTGGATCCATCTCCCATCTATTTTTCTCTTCATTGTACCAAGTCCTTGACACTACCTTGTCTCGGTCCAAAAGAATCCTTTCCTGCAGTGCAATAGACAAGTAGTAAGTAGTAAAAGAACACAGCAATGACTAATAACAGAAAATAACAACCAAGCCTTTTCCCACTTAATGCCTGCTGACAGAAAACAACAAGGAATGAATTGCATCTCAATTTGACCAGTTCAATCCCCATGATAATAATTTAGCAGTATTTATGACACATTTGTGTTTCTACAATTCCGAAGAGAATCATTCACAGACGATACAAACTCAATAAACCCTTAACCACCTCTTCTTCTGGTGAGTAAATAATACTGAGTACTATTTTGTGCATGTGAAGATCACTAAAAATGTGCTACCATAATCACTTGTACAATATTCAGTTGTGCTCCCTTAGTCATGATTTGATGCCAATATTACTCAAAATGTCATTGAAGAAACTAGACATCAAATATTAAAATAGCTAACTCAATGTGTTAAGTCTGAACCCATGATATGGTCCTTTGCTGTCTAAAATATCAAATAGAAAAACTAAATTTTATAAACATGTATACTAAACATATACAATACAGTTGATGCATCACTAAAAATACAATGGAAAAATGAAATGGAACCTGTCTTTCAGCTACATATTGTCTGCCAAACTCAGCATCTTTTACTAACTTCCGTTTTAAATTTGCCTTAGCTTCTTCACGCCATTTCTTCCAACCATGGTACAAATGGAGACCAACAGCTTTAGGAACTAGAACCTCCTTATTTCCAAACATCCACTTTAACTCAACTTCCGGAAAACCCTTAATGACCTCTCCTTCTGGTGAGTAAACAATACAGTGCTTTTCCTTGCCAAACTTTTTCATTTTTTTTCTTATCTGAGCCTCCAAATTCATTTGCATCTCCCTGGAGTCTTTAAGACTTCTTTGTAAACGTTGAGCAAAATTTATAGAGTCTTGATGAAAGAATGAGCCAAGATCCTCAACATCCAAAATGCTAGGAAGAAGTATTTGCTCGGCATGTTTTCTTTGTACAGTTTCCAAATCTTTCTGAATAACAATTTTTGAGAGCCTGGTAACTGAGCCAGTAGGCAAACTGCAACCACATGACAAAATGTTTGCATAGTGACATACTATTTCCAAGGTATTAAACCAAAACTAACTTGCATAACAGATCATGTAACCAATTAAGTTGTTGCATCCAAAATTGACAACAAATTTCAACACAGTCAAATAGATTAAGATGGAAACAGAGTTATATGGCTTTATTTGTAAGATTTTCCAGCTCAAACATAATTTCAACTTTCAAGATATAAAATCCCACACATGTCAAAATTTAAAGGCAACTTCCCACTTCTATTAAGTCCCTTGGCCAGGTAAAATCAAAGACAAAAAGCAATAATAATAATAATAATAATAATAATAATAATAATAATAATAATAATAGGAGGCATCAAACAACCTAAAATCTTCTAAGGGTAGATAAGTTACAGCCTAAAAATTCTAATGCCCATCCTTAACAGTTGCACTTGACTCAAGTGGCACAAAAACTTTGTCCACATGCAATCCTACCCTGATCTCCACATTCATCTTATCACACCAAGAGAATCATATGATAAAATTGCAATGAGCATTAAAAAATAGACAAACAAAACACAATATAAGAATGCATTGATTCAAGTTATCAAGGCATGTTACCTTTCAACGCCCTTGCGTCTCATTTCTTGTTTAAACCTCTCCACCATCTGCTCACACTCCCTCTCAATGAAACAGATTTCCCTTACCCCATAACTCAATGCCAGCGTCTCCTCCCTCGAAATCAGGTCCTCAATCTCACCAACTCTCTCCCACACCGCATTGTATTCATCCTCCAGCACCCCCACCCTCTGCTCCAACTCCTTCATCCTTGCCATCTCTTTCTCATTCACTACATTCATCTTCAATTTATCATACTCCCCTTTCGCCTTCAATATCTCGCTAATAATCTCCCCTGACCGTCCCCACAATGGGTTCCTTTGTCTCCTCAACTTCTTCAACCTCGGGTAAAACCTCCCCATAATCTCTTTTTGCAACTCTTCCTTCTTCGATTTCACGGCCTTCAACGCCTCCTCCACCATGCTCATGTCCCCATTCCCTTGCCTAACCTCATCCACGCTCCTCAACAGACTCGAAACTGTCTCCAACAACCTATCAGTGCAATCCGAATACTCATAACTCTTCACTCTCTCTTTCTCACTTCCTCGTTTCCCCAAAAACCCCCATGGAGCTGCAATTGCAAATGCAGGACGAGCTCGGAGTGCTCCCAAAGCGGAAAAACCAACCGCGAAACAAAACAGCGCGCGAACGAGTTGTTTCAACAAAACGTTGTCGTTTTCTTCTGTCTCCGGTTCTGAAGGGGAGGGCGCATAGTTAACGGCGAAACTTATTGGTGAAGTACCGGAAGCGAGAGAGAGAGGGTTTCTCGGTGTTTGGCGGGAGTTAGGGATGAATCTTCGATTTGGAAGAGGAAGAATCGAAGTGAAAGGTGGGTAGTGTGCAAATCGAAATGGTGGTTGTGATTGAAGCAGAGGAGGGGAGAGAATGGAGTGCATGATTGAGTTTAGAGTAGAGGAAGGAGGGAAGAAGAGCTAGACATTAAACTGAAGTGAGAGTGTCCTTCAATAACTGAAGAAGGGATTTCGTTATCCTGCAACACCAGAGCAACACCAGCAGCGAGGGGTTAGATCATCTACTTACGGGTTTTAGCGAAGAACGCCACACGCTCGAAAGAATTATTTTAGTTCAGTTCTTACATTAAAAAAGTTTATATTTAAGTTTCATATGTAAAAATATTTATAAATTATTTGTTACAATTTATTGACATTATTATTGATATGAAAATATTTTTATAATAAGAATTAAATCAGAAGTAATATTAAAAATACTAAAATGCAAACAAAAAACCCAAATGAAATATAATTTTATTTTATATAGGTTTAAAAATAAATTATTGACAAATGTGTTGACTAAATCTAATATTACAGTAAAATTGATAAATAATAAAGATTATTTGTAAAACTACAAATATTTTATATTTTTAATTTTTATCAAGAAATGTTGAAGTGTTCAGATATATTAATTTTTTAAAATCATATTTTATATTGCAATTCAATTTATTTATTGGTTCTTCTTGTTAAAATTAAATTGAATCATATTTATAACTAATTTATATTTTTATTTAAAATTATTATTTTTATTTAATTTTATTTATATTTAATATTGTATAAACATATAATGCATTATTTAGACTCTCATTTTTTTCATAATTTTATTTTTTTAATCAATATCTTTCTTTATTTTTGATTTTTCAACAAACTCAATTCAATTTTGACAAATGCTTATCCCAATTTCAAATTAAATTCAAAATTATATAATAATAAATAAATATATACATAAAAGCATACAACACCTCCTTTTTATATTTATCTTTTTAAAAGAAAATTAACATGCATAACATATAATAAGTGAAATTACTTATTCAATCATCAAGCATTTAAGTGAGAGAAACATGTTTTCATCTCTCTACTTCAATCTAGGTACATGCACCATTAACTTATCATGATAAACAATAATCTCACACAAAATAATTTAACATATTCCATCCATAAGAAAAACCATCAAAATCCACCCGATCAATATTGGGTTATATAATCCTGAGACAACCTACATACAACATAAACTTTGTCCAATCATCAGGGAAATAAAAAGAGTACTAAGTGACTATTGCATTCTAAGAGAGGATACTAACATACAACTAAAAAGAAACAAAAAGTGTTATCAACTCCCTAAAGTATCCCCTCGAGCAGTCTCAGGCCCAAAACAAACAAAGATCAAGAAACATCAATCGAGAGGAGTGTACTCCTCTAAAAGGTCATAATTTGAGGAAGTGGACAATGCGACATTAGGGTCGGCATGCAGGCTAGCTAGATCTCCATCTACATCCTCCAACCATTCAAGAGTAGGTGGTAATATGCGGGAACGTGAAAGGGGAGGAGGTGGTGAAAGGCTGCGATGGGAAGGTTTGGCCTTATCAATAGGTGAAAGTCTAAGTGACTGGGTAGGTAGACAAAGATAAAGATATGACTCCACATGTCAGGCTTGTAATCTATTATTGAGTAATCTATAATATTTTATACTTGTTAAATGTTAATTGACGGATTATTTGGTATTGGAATAAATTTAGATGGAGTTTTAAATTATTTTTAAAAAAATTTAAAAAAATGAACAGTGTCGGTGAATAGTGATGTGAACAGTGACATACCATGACGTCACATACGCGTACAGTACACGTGCACAGTATTTTCGTCGTGAATAGTGTCCTAAACAGTATTTTCGGCATGAACAGTAAGGCGGTGAAAAGTAAATTTCAAAAATTTTCTATAAAAAAAAGGCTTCACACGAAATTTTCATTTCTTCACTCCTATCTAAGGTTCTCAAAGGTTCCAAGGCCATATACCACCATTTTCTCTCATATTAAACCCTCTTAAACTTAGATTTCTCTCTAGATCTATGATTCTACGTCCGTTCTAAAGGATTTAAAGTAAGTTTTTTTAAGTTTGAAGTTAGATACACTGTTCGTTTCTCTTCTCCTTCTCTTTCTCATAAAAGTTCATGGTTTTCTTAGGAGAAACTCTGTTCTAAAGCCAAATCTTCAGTGAATCTTGTGATAAAACAAGTAATATTCGATAGATTTGGAGTGAATCATTATTCCAAGGTAAGGGGAGCTTACTTTAGTCTATGAACTATGTTTTGAACGGTTTGATATGCTATTTAAGAAATGTTTGAGTCAATTTTGTTAAATCTCTTTGGTAAAAGCTAAGATATAAAGGATTTAATACTTGAAATTTTTTTTTTATGTTATAGCTCTTGATATAACTGATTTAATAACACTGAGATTTGGTTGATTTATTATAAACTTGTCTTAACTGAGCTGTTGAAATGATTTTAGCCGTGTTGCATCATGCTGAGATATATGTCTTGCGTCATTATAGAGCCAAGTTACACGTTTAGGTGGATAGATGTGTAAGAGTAGAGCATGTTGAGTTGTGCTGTGCTATGCTGTTTGGATCCAAATACCAGAATGGGTCGCTCCCGGACTGACTCGGTTCTTTTGGATTACTTAGGCTGTGAAACCAGTTGGAAACTATTTTTCATGTTGTGCATTAGATGAGCTGGTAATGCATAGGGCTGTTGCTGTGAGTAATATTTTGCTCTATATATACGATTTCATTTTTTTTTGTAAGCTCACCCTTGCATTTTTATCTATGTCGTTGTGTGCATGTGTACTGCGATGATTGTACGGTGGTACGTGAGTAAATGTAGTAGGTGTTGCATCTACTTCACAGGCTGAGGGGCTAGTGGAGAAATGTTAGAAGCTGGAGTCGAGTAATTTTGTATTAAAGTCCTTTTTTCTTATATTTTGAGACCTTATGTAGAGGGAGCTATGTAGTATAATTTTGTATATTTTGAATATTATGAACAAAATGTAATACTATGTTGTTCTATTAGATATTTGTTATAAAAAACTTTGTTTTATTTTGAATGAGAAGTGAATTTTATACTTATATTCTCTATTATTTATCTATCTTAAATAAGTATGTGGTGTAGAAACAATGTTCTCGGTTCCTGACACCACACATTGATATCCACCCACTCAAGTCAAAAGAAGAAGAGAATGGTCGAGGTAAATAGGTGTCAAGGGCACTGTTTAGGCTAGGTTAGGGGTAGGGATGTCAATATCTATAGGAGCTAGTGCAACTCTAGTAGGTAAAACGAAAAAAGGGACATATGTAGCATATTTGGCAAAGGGAAAATGATCTCAACTAGTAAATTAGTGGTGCAGCAGGATTCCTAATAACACCCTCAACTTTGTGGCCTTTGTATGGAAAAATAGGAATTTTTGCTATAGGGTATCTCATTGTAGCGAGATGTGTGTCGCTGCAGCGAGAAAGATCGTCTAGAATCAGGTTCTCTAATGCTCTTTCACTGTAATAAGAATGCTCTCGCTGTAGCGAGGAGCTCTCACTGTAGCTAGAATGACAGACAGTAAAGGAAAATTTTGTCTGGTTTTTTTTGCTACAGCAAGGAAGGCTTGTTGTAGCGAGAATCTCTCGCTGTAGAGAGAGTTAGCTTGCTATAGCGAGAACATCGCGAGTTAAGGGGTATTTAAGGGCATTTAACCTAGAAAACTTAGATTACAATCCAAAATCTTGACCTCCCCTCTATTCTCTCTGATCTCTCACCCTCTCTTGTCAAAAATCCTCTTCCAAACCTCAATATTCCTTCGAATATGGGCTTAGAAGCTCAACCATTCAGATCCAAGTAAGTTTCTTAGAGCTTAGTTTTTCAACTTCATTCTTATTTCCTTATTTTATCCGATCTAAAGGTTTGTACTTTGTGATACTCAAGGAAACCTTAACCCGTAAGACGATATTCTCTACCAGAACGTTGTGCCTCTCCCTTGGATCTCTAGGAAAGCTCAATTTAAGAGACTCATTTCCAGGTAAGGAGAGTTGATCCCGAATCGTAACTTTGGTATTTCGTTTTGGGTAATAGAACCCCAATGATTCTCAAAACTATATTACTAAAAATGAAATTTTGGGTATGAGGAACCAATAATTTAATCCAAAGATCATTTAGATAAAATTTTAGAGTGAAAAGATGAGTAATTAAGCTATTAACGAATTTTTAAGATTTTACTATTATTTATGTATGAACAAGTAATATTGAACTTTAGGATATGTGATCTTATTAATGCTAAGAAAGTATGTATATTGGATTATATGATTGGGCTGAGTCTGGAGGTGTTCGACCTCTGGCATATTGTATTGATCTGTGTGGTGTGAAATTATTTGAGGACCTTCTATGTTAGATGGATATGATACTATAAATATGAATGTTTGTTGATGACTGATGCATGTTGGAATAGGTGAAATTATGTTGTTAATGAAAAATGTTATACTATTCTCAAATGAAGAAAGAGTTTTATGTATAAAAGTAAATGATATGACATGATGAAAAATTTATGAGAGATATGATCGTAATATGTGAGTCAGATATATTGATGGATGTTATTAGGATACAGGTGTTGTGGTACATCGAAAGGTGTACTCATAATACATGTATTGTAATACATTAAGTTATATGATCAAGACTCACATTATGACATGTTGATTTATGAGAAGAACGTAGAGAAAAATGAGAATGAAATGAGAAGATAGTTATAGAGATACACTAGGGTTATGGAAGATGGCAACGATTAAGAAATCTGGGAGAGATAAGGGTGGTGGATGTCTTTCCATGATTGCACCAAAATTAATAAAAATAGAGAGAAAGATACCACAAGCCTTACACTCATTTCTTAACTTAAACCCCTAACTACACCTTTGTTAAAAGGGGCTAGGTCAGCACATGTCTGTATCTATGTTGCGGCGGCTAACCAGAAGCTATCTATGCTATGAATACCTTAATGGATCCCATGGGTAATGGATATGAAAGTGTGATGAATATGAAGTAGTATAGAAAGTGTATGATTATAATATATGCATTGTACCATATTAGTTGATGTTATGATATATGTGTTGTAATCATCGACAGGTGCGATTAGGACACATGTATTGTGACATATTATTGATGTGGTATAATACATGTATCATGACATATATATTAGTGTGAAAATGCATGCCATACGTATTTACAAAGATGATTGAGTAGTTGTCATGTATGTGCTCTACTGTGATAATGA